CCTCAGCCTTCCAAGTAGCTGGAACTACAGGCACGCGCTACCACGCCTGGCTAATTTTTTATTTAATATAGAGATGAGGTCTCGCCAAGTTGCCCAGGCGGGTCTTGAACCCGCGAGCTCAGGCAATCCACCGAGCCTGGCCACCAAGCCTGGCCATACAAAAAATATTTTAAAATTTATCAGGCATGGTGGTACATGCCTATAGTCCCAGCTACGCAGGAGGCTAAAGTGGGAGGATTGTCTGAGCCCAGGAAATAGAGGCTGCAATGAGCCATGATTGTGTCACTGCACTCCAGTTTGGGTGAAACGGGGTGACTCAAAAAAAAAAAAAAGAAAGAAAGAAAGAAAGAAATAAAAAAGAAAAGTAAACAGGCTGGGTACAGTAGCTTACGCCTGTATTCTCAACATCCTGGGAGGCTGAGGTGGGGAGACTGCTTGAGCTCAGGAGTTTGAGAGCAGCTGGGTAACATAGCAAGACAGTCTCTACAAAAAATTTTAAAAGTAGCTGTGTGTGGTGGTGTGTGCCTGTAGTCCCGGCTACTTAGGAGGCTGAAGCAGGAGGATCAGTTGAGCCCAGGAGTTTGAGGCTACAGTGAGCTGTGATCACTCCACTGCACTCCAGCCTAGGTGACAGAGTGAGACCCTGTCTCTAAAAAAAGTTTTTTTTAAGTTAAACAAAAACATTTCAAAATAGATAAAAATAAGCTACTTATATCCCAAATGAGAACTATGTTCATAACACCAACAAGGATGGAGCCCTGTGTGAATGTTTTACATGTGTCATCCCATTCAATCCTCACCAGGTCTCTGTTAGGCAGGTGTAATGATTCCTGTGTTACAGATGAGAAAAGTAAGGCTCTGAGTCAAGTGCTCAAGGACACACAATTGAGCATGCAGCAAAATACATGTATGAACAGAATGTGCAGTTCCTAGAACGCAATCTCTCTACACTCCATAAATATTGTGCCTCGACTGTCACAAATTCACCTGCTTATCAAACTCGGGCTTCAGAGAGTCTTCAGTGAAGATGTGAAACTGGATCTTTCTGTGGCTGAAGAGCACAGCTGACTTGAGCATCACCAGCGTCTCTTCCAGCCGATTGCCACAGGCTACCACGGCCAGGTGAATCCAGAGCTCTGGCGGTGGCACAGCTTGGAAACTCCTGGCTTCTCCGGGCCTCCTAGAGTGAAGAAAACCAAGTCAAAGCCACTCCTAAACTCAAAGAAGCAAAGACAGCAAAACGCAGTGAGCAAAGGGTTAGAACATTTCAAAACATGAACAGGCACAATCTGTTATATTTTATAAAGTGATAAGTAGTTTGACAATTCTTCCTGCTTAGAGAAAAATACCATTTCTTCCCATATTTATCCTGGCAATTGGAGGATGAGTCACTGTTTGGACGGCTATAGGTGTCTGGGGCTTTTTCTGCCAGCTCTCAGCTGTCTGGTGCCTGCTGGCTGCCTACTGGCCCGTGTTTGGAAATAGCATTGCTAAACTTTGACAGCTGACACTAGGGCTGTGGAACCTCCATTGCACGGGCCATGGAAATTAGATTTGAACGCAACTTGAACAAGAGCGGTGAGGGGGCTGTGGCTTTCCCATGTGAAACAAGTAACATGATATTCCCATCATCTGGAGGTTTTTAGCTCGAGGTGGAATGCATGACCACTGGACCAAAGAAAGTCACGCAAGTCCAGGAGGTAAGCAAAGAAAACAACACACGTGCCCCCACCACATCTCCGGAGAGTCTGGGAGAAACAGGTGTTAATCCCAACCGTCTCGCCAAAGACTGGGGAGGTGGTGGGTATGAAATTCATATTAATGAGAAACAGGCAGGGGAAGGGGCAGGTTAAGCTGAAAATGACCAAGGTATCAAACGGAGTCAACAGCTGAGAGGGGATAAGGTCCAAGAGTCCAGAATCATCATCCAGCTATTTCCTAGTAATAAAAGATTTGTTCCAGACAAGGAGATGCAGCCAAGCCTCAAACACACCACTGAGAAACATTTGCAGGCAAGTTGGAAGAAGTTGGCCTGGAAAAGGTGCCCTGAGACAAATGAAACTAATTTACTTGCACAAAAGATCTGGAGACCAGGGGAACTTGGATGTCAAATGCTACCTTCCTTCCAAAACCTTCGAGTTCAATCAGCTTGCTGCTCCGTTATTTACTGCTCGGTTGAATAATGGCGGCTTCGCTCCAGATTTCTTTCACCAGGAGGAAAGTTGAAGATGTGGGTGGAGCCCTTTGGAAAGCTTCCCAATTTGATTACTTAAGAGCATGCTTAGTAGAAGCACAGCTTCAGGGCTCAGCTGAGGCCAGATGCGGAGAGTTACTTGGATTCCACTTACTTTGGAGGTCACACAAAAAAGACAAGAAGGCGTTGTCAGTATCTCTGGAAACTGTCCACTTCTTTCCACGCTCCTGCCATGATCTCGTATGGCCACCATCCTCGCTCACCTAGATCACCAGGACAGCCCTCTGGGTGGTCCATCTGCCTCCAATCTTATCTTTAACCTTCAGTCTATCCTTTCTCCTTGTGGGTGCCAGGGTGATGTTCTTCTAAAATGCAAGGATCATGCTGTTCCCCACTGCCCTCAAGATTAGGTTCAAACTGCTGATTATGGCTCCTATTTACGTTTTTAACTGCTCCCAGCACCCCAATCTGGATGGATGGCCTTCAAAATCACAGTCATTGTCGCACTTATACCCATATTCTGTTTCATTTCCAGTCCATGAGACCTTGTGATGTGTGCATTGCCTGCCTGTCTTTCTCTTTCAGAAATGTTCTTGTCTACCCTCTTTTCCTTGCTAAATCCATTTATTAACCAACAAATCTATACTGAGAACCTATCACATGCAGGCACTATTCTAGGAAGACAGCAGTGAATCAATCCACAAAGATGCCTGCCCTGGCAGAAATTACATTCTGCATGGGAAACACACAAATAAGTAATAGCCAAAGTAGTAACTAAGTAACTTCTATTGGAAGTTAGACAGGGATAAGTGCTAGGAAAGAAATACATAGTGGAGCAGGATAGGGGTACCAGAAATGGCTGGCAGGGTGGTACAGTATTATACAGTGCCAAGTCAGACAAGGCCTCAGTAGGGTGAGCTCAGCCAATGACCTGAAGGAGGGGAGTGAGCCAAGGGCATTTCTGGGGGACCAGCATCCCAGGCAGAGGGAACGGAGGCACTAAATCAGGGGTGTATCTGGAGAATTTGAGGACCCCTGCCTGTAAGACCCACATGCCCGTTCTCTCCTGTGGTTTCGTGGGTGGTTTCCATGCTCGCTATTAAAGCCAACTCCCAATTAACTTATGTAAAGGGGTGGGAAGGATATGTTAGAGTTAATACTGAAATGACAGTCAATTTAAGAAGTCACAGCCAAGACAGTAGCCAAAATATGCTGCAAAAAAAAAAGATTTAACGTGAACTTGCTGGGTTACAATTATGCCCAATATTTAGGAACAGGAGTATGATTCAAAGGTGCTAACACAATGTTTAAATGTAATTGCTTAAATATCTTAAATATAGACACCCTCCTCTGCCCCCAAACAGAAGCACTCCACCTAGTTTAGCTTTACATATTGGGCTTCTGCATGAATAACACATTTTAACCTTCGTCACCGGGGAAATAGAAATTCAAACAATAAAGAGATTCGATTTTATTTTCAGGTTGGCAAAAATTACAACATAAAATAAAAGATTGACCATATGAGTTCCAGTGTGGATATGGGGCAGGGAATGGCTCAAGCGCTCAAGACTGCTGGGGGCAGTCTAAGTTGGTTCCAACACTTTGGAGAGCCATTTGGCAACATTCAGCAGGGTGGAGATGAACATATGCCCTCCACCCCTTCAGTTCAGTTTCCACACATACAACCTGAAGAAACTTGCACATCTGCACGAGATCCATGTAAAAATGTTCACAGCAGCTCTGTTTATGACCATGAAAAATTGGAAATAAACTTCACTGTTCATGGAAAGGAGAACAGTGAATATATTTGATATGTTAAAGAGTGGAATACCATGTAACAGAGAAAAGGAATACACCAGGATGGTATGTAAAACATAACACCAAAGAGGAATAAAAGCAATTTGTAAAAGGATAGCAACACAATGGTATGAAGCAGATGAAGCAGAAAAACAGGTAAAACAAGACGGTATGCTATTCACAGATCTATGTAGGAAAGATAAAAGGCATGCATGAGGATGAAGAACATAAATGCAGGATGGTGGTCATTTATGGAGATTAAAAATGTTTATTCCTTAAATTGAGTTGTGGGTACATAGAAGTCAATCCTTCCTTCCTTGTTTCCTTCTTTCTTTTCCTTTTTTTTTTTTTTTTTTTTTTGAGATAGGGTCTCACTTTGTCATGCAGACTGGAATGCAGTGACGCCATCATAACTCACTGAAGTCTTGAACTCCTGGGCTCAAGTGATCCTCCCACGTTGGCCTCCCAAAGTGCTAGGATTACAAGCATAAGCCACCATGCCCAGCTTCACTTTATTATTATCTGTATTTTTTTGTGGTCCCAGACTATTTCACAAATACTTTTTTTTTTTTAATTACAAAATCTTGCACTCCCTGCAGGATAGCAGGGCACCTCTTTTCTTCTTTGTGGGCTTTGGTGATTTGGGCCTTTTTCTAGGGTTAGGGACTGTAGTATTTCACAGTGTCTGGTGACAGGTACCAAAAAAGAAAATGAAGAGCCTCTCCTGGTGCCAGTTCAAGCATCAGTGGTTGGGATTTAATGAGACCTTTGCTGGCCTCACTCTATTACCTCTCACATTACATGAAAAATCTCCGGCTTCAAGTAATCAGCCTTAGTATTGTGAGGTCACAATGAACAATCAAGTTTAAGGGCACTGGGATGGTGTGCATTTCACCAGCTCCTACCAATGGCACACTCAGCACCTCTCAAATGTCACCTGAGACTGTAAGGATCCAGAGAGTCCAGTCTAGGAAGCCGAGACTTCTTAACCCTTGAGTCACTGAATTTGGGCAGGGAATGGATGGTAGGGAATTCTAGCACTGCTCTGACTGGTGGTTAATTATATTCTTATTTATACTGCATAAAAGGGGATTTGAGTGAACATTTGCTAGCCAGGATTTGTGTGTGTGTGTGTGTTTTGTTGTTGTAGAGACAGGATCTTTCTAAGTTGCCCAAGCTGGGCTTGAACTCCTGGCAAGCCTCCTGCCTCAACTTCCCAAGGTGCCAGGATTACAGGTGTGAGTCATTGTGCCCAGCTGTTGTCCAGGATTTTGAAGGACCTGTTGCTAAGGCTGGAGCTGATGGCAAACATCTTGGCCACCATATTGGTAGAGCCTGAACAGGAATCAACTTCACACAATAGACAGCAGAGCAAAAAGAGGGCAGGTCAGATCTCTGATGATGTTAACTGGGTCCAGGTAACAGTTAGGCTTTTTTTTGGTTTTTTTTTTTTATTGTGAAGTTGTGGGGTACAGTTAAGGGTTAGGTATACAATTGCGTTTCATTCAGGCACCCTGTTGCTATGGGGGCTTTTTTTTTTTTTTAAGATGTGGGATACCACTCAGGGTTAGGTATACAAATGTTCATTATGCAGGTACCCTTGTTAGTGAGGTATGCCCCTCTCTCCCCTGGCAGTTTCCCACCACTGCCAATCCCTTTCTTATAGTATTATGATAATTATTCAAGGCCCGCTTATGAATGAGATCATTTGGTACTCTGTTCTGTTTCTGTGATAGATCACTGAGTATGATAAACTCTAAATCCATCCAAGTTGCTGCAAAGTCCATATGTTTGTCCTTCTTTATGGCTGCATAATATTGCATTGTGTCTATGTAGTCAGTTTAGCTACTAAGCCAATAGATTCTCTTTTGCTTAAGCCAGTTTGAAACAAACTTACAGCTTAGCAACCTAACAAAGAGTCCCAATGTAGGTCCTAAAAACATGTTGCTAATCATCTGCGACTCTCCCTTTGACATGCCATTGAACCCACTCCTGCCTTGCTTCCCACTAGTACACCCCTGACCCAAATTCTCACCATTCCTCCCATTTTGTAGCTGGAAGAGACACCAGACACCACGCAGGGTAGGGCATTCCCTACCTGGCCACGTATCCTACCCATTTGCAGCGTGGGTTAATATGCAGACTCTACCTCACGAGATCTTCATTCTGGGGGGCTTGGGGGAGGCCCTGGAATCTGCATAGACATTACATTTGCACTACACACCACCCACAATTGAGCTAGAGGCAGGAACTAGCGATCTGAGTGGACATCTCACCTTTCCTTTACTCTCCTGTGCCCTCTTTAGCCTCAGCCTGTGCTCAGAGTATTCCTTTCACCTTTGCCTTCATGGAAGCGTGGCTGCCTTGTGAGGACACCACTTCCCAGAAGGCATCCCTAATCTAGCTGCATCCGGGAGGGAGATGGAGCTGATAACCTCCTTGCTCCTCACACCCAGTCACATCATATTTTATTTTGTTGTTTTGTCTTGTTTTGTCAGAGTCTCACTCTGTCACCCAGGCTGGAGTGCAGTG